CAACCCTCCAAAATTTCAGTGAAAAACAAAGGAAAACCACTCTCACGCGTGTGGAAACATTCACGGTCTCACTATTTTTTTTGATAAATTTCACAGTCTCACTATGTATACCTTCCTTCCCTACCCATGTCAAACTCTTGCCATCTGTCCTAGCGGTTACCAGCGCAGCCCTAAACACCACAAACCCATGCGGTCCTGGGTTCAAGTCCCCAGCCGCACCAATTTTTTATGCATTTTTCACCCTTCATTTTTTAGACAAATTATTTTTTTTCTCAATGTAATGCCCTTAAAAAATGTTCATTTATTTTGGCACCATGTGTAAACCTCTACCATAGCTGAGGCACATTTTTCATGACATTTTGGTCTTTGATTTAAATCACGGTGTATTTGAATTGGATTAATTAAAAGCTCCAAAAAATTTCTAACCTTAATTGTTTGGCTCTGGAATAATTCAATTAGCTTCCACAAAAAGTTTCAGCATTATGATTTACTGCCTAAATTAAATCATAACAGAAAACAGAAAAATACGCAAGAGAACCCCCGAATGGGCCTAATTGGATGCAGTTGGCCCATTAGTGTAGCCTGCACTTGGCTCTACGCTCTAAATTTGGCCCAAGAGCAACCTTTTTTTGACAGAAAGGCAGAGCAAAGAGCTGCATTTCATTGATCAAAAGTTTCTGAATTCCTAATTTCTTCTCTTTTTTTCAACATATTTAAATGTTGGTCACTTCTTCTCTTTTTTTTCAACATTTAAACAACTTTGACCAACATTTAAACTAGGTGAATTTCTCATGCAATTTCAAGATCACAAATTCCTCCATAGTTCATGCCTTTCCATACATTTTCAACATTACAACTAGTGCGATTACCATACCTACAAATGCACAAAAGTATTTGCAAATGGGTATTGGTAGTGCTTGATCTTCAAGCTTCCTAACCTTCTTCTTCAACATCCTAAGATCAACAGCTAGCTCTCTGTCAGTGCGTGCTTCGCCCTCCATCTCTTCTTCCGGAGCTCGTGGTGCGGCCACTATCGTTCGTGGCAGCATGCGCAACCATTCTTCATGCTCTTCTTGCAATTCATTCATCAGAGTCTTGGCCAGAGCATCAACCCAAAGAAAGAAGCATGTCACCTGCATAAACACCAAACAGATCAACCCATTGCTCAAAGATCCTGACCACGAAAATGGTGCAGTTGCCCCGATTCTTACCTCATTCTCGCTGCACACGTAGAACGGACGATTCTGGTTCCTCGGTGTCTGAGAAACCCTCCGATCAACACCCGCCCGGCACCGCGGACAGACGAAGACATGCATGTCCACACGCGCCCGGCTCTGCATCCGCGAGGTGGCGCGGGAGCTTGAGGAAGACATGGAGCTCGGAGCCGAAGGGGATCTCAACGCCGCCGCGCCCTCCACTGCTATCTTCCCACCGCCGTGCTCTCCCTCTCGCCGTGGTCACCGCCGTGCTCTCTGTCGCCGTGGTCACCGCCGCTGTCGCCCGCTTATATAGCACACCCGCCAACGGCTCTCTGCTCAACGGCTCCCTGCTGGGTCCCACAAGCCACGCGTGCAATGGTCTGAATAAAATTGACCGTCTCTGCCGCCTGGTCCCACCTGTAAGGGCCGAGTCAAAAGGTTGACCTGACGAAGACGGCAGAGTTCACGGAACGAGTCGGTGCGCACGAACTAGGGGCAAAACTGAGCACAATTCGCATCTGAGGGCAAAACTGAGTACATGGACACCACTGAGGACAAAAAGATAATTAGCCCATTAATATAAGACATTTTAGATTGCCAACGCATAAAATAGAGAGGGCGATGTGGTACACCCAAGAAGAATAGACTATGTTTCTGATCAGGAGCCCAAGTCCCGTGGATTCAGCACCGTGGCAGAGTGTGGCCTATGGTGATCAAGGACGCCAGAGGATTAATAGAGAGAATTAGCAGAAAAGATGAGTTTATTTGGCAAAATTTCTCTAGGAAGAGGGTGGGGGCAGCGCGAGTATCGTCCTTTGGCTGGATGCACTGAACACTTATGGACATGCATATAGGTAAAGCAAACAAGCACTCAAAAATAGGCTTTCGTCCCGCTTTATAAATATAGAAACCACTGCATGTCCATGGTGTTGACCAAGATGAACTGCCCACCACTCAGTTAGGCAGTCGAGTACTCGAGTTGACGATGGTACTAGCATGCCAGCCAACTTCAACCTTGACGTCGACCAATGATGCCTGCACTGCAGCAAGTAATCCATCCTTTAGTTAATCTTCGATTCCCAAAGTGCATTACCAGATAAAACATTGAACTATAATATATATCATGGAGTGAAATGCGTCAATAATTCATTAACTTAAACTGATTCATGCTTTAAATCAACAACTCAAAAAATGATCAATTTTGGACATAAAATCGTGAATTTGATCAAATAAGGCCAAAACCAATCCAGGAGATAATACTCCCTCCGTTCCTAAATATTTGTCTTTTTAGACATTTCAAATGACTACTACATACGGATGTATGTAGACATATTTTAGAGTGTAGATTCACTCATTTTGCTCCGTATGTAGTCACTTGTTGAAATGCCTAGAAAGACAAGTATTTAGGAACGGAGGGAGTAAAACGACCGCATGGCTACCACGTCAGTGCTCCCTAGACCGCTCGTGAACTTACTATCTTTATAGGAATCTAATCCCTTCGTTCCAAAATAAGTGACTCGACTTTGTACTATCTTTAATACAAAATTAATATAAAGTTGAGCCACTTATTTTAGGACAGAGGGAGTATTTGCCAACTTGCCCCTTTTTGATGCACACTACCGGCATATATGGATTCTTGGTCGTAGCTACCACCTAAGGATGGCTTGTCTCAAAAACAAAAACAAAAACCTAGGGATGGCCGTGCTAGTAACATTAGTGAGCTAGCTTCGCTGAAGCCAGGGCGTTTGGGCCGGCCCACTATGCACCCAATCGTTTTCTTTTATTGTTTTACTTAGAAGTATAGATAGCAATTTTCTGTAGCACCGCTATCTTATCTGTTCTTATTTCGAAAATTTTGAAATTACGAATATATATGATGAACAATTTTAAAATACACATTAAATATTTTGTAATGTACATTGAACAATTTTAAAATACACATTGAATATTTTTGTAATGTACGTTGAACAATTCATGAATACACATTGAACATTTTGTGTAATATATGCTGAAAAAAATCAAATACATAATGAACATTTGTAGTATTTCGTTGAACAAATTCTTAATATACGATGAATATTTTTATAATGCATGCTGAAATTCTTTGTAATATACCGTGCACATTTTTTTAATACACGATAAACATTTTTATAATACACATTGGACATTTTTGTAGACAGTGAACTTTTGTATAATACTATAAAATAGAAAAATGAAACCAAGAAAAATACAAAATACAAAATAAAATACAAAATACAAATACAAAACATAAAAAAGAAAAAGAAAACAGAAAAGAACAAGTGAACAGAAATAAAAATATGAGGAAACAGTGAACCTCGACTTGTGAGCCAGTCCAAACTGGGCGTTGGGGCCGCGGCTCCTTGACGCACGGGCGCCTCAGATAATCTGCCGCAGCGACCTGCCTACAGTAATTAAGCACAAGAATTGCCTCGGAAAAAAAACGTTAAGCGCAAAGTCATAACTCGTGATTGACATGACATGTGCAACGCTGCACTGTGCATGGAAAGCTAAAGCGGGATTGAAATGAAGAGAAGAACTTTTTTTTTACGGGTGAATAGAAGAACATTAGAAAGAAAGAGCGTGTTGGAGTCTTCAATAACAAGCCCGGCGCAATCAGTGGTTCTCCATCAACCAATGCAGGGGCTGCTTCCCGGTTGACATTTAAGCGAGCGCGAGACGATGAGCAATGCAAGTGGCCATGCATGCGATGGTGATCGCCGGCCAACCACATTCCCTCTAGGCCGTCTGGTCTACAATTCATTCCAACTATCTTAGGGCGCGAAATTTTTGTGACATGTGTGTTTGTTCATCTGTCGCTAAGAAGAAATGTTACTATATACAGAGTGATGATGTGCTTGAGGCCGACCACAATCAACACGTACAATATATATCACTAGAGAACAAAAACGCGTGCTTAGCGTGCCACGCTTTATAGAGTTAACAAAGGGACTGTTAATCAGTGTTAAGCATGATACGTATCCGTATAGGAATGGAAATCTTATAATAATCCTACTAATTAGCAAAAACCCTACATCTACGGGCAGCTACGAATGATTAACGTAAACTTCCTACTAGCGAACTCTCCCCTGATTTTCAAAGTGATGGGCCCCTTCCTCCCCTAATCTCTAATCACAAGTCCCCACGTCGCAAATTACATTAATCTTGTAATTAGCATTATGTAAGTGTAGCATTACTCACTAAGGCTGGTCATAGTGGGGAGTAACTTATACTAGTGTCATGCATATGACACTAGTCTAAGTTACTACTTTCATAGTGCAAAGTAACATACTAGTAGTGTCACATAGGACTTCATTAATTAACTTGTAGACTCATCTTATCTTGAAAAGCGCTATATTACAGTAAATATTATGTTACTACTTCTCATTAACTACATGCCACATAAGTAAGAAATTCTCGGAATGTGCTATGTTACTTGCTAAGTTATTCCCACTATGACTAGCCTAATTATCTAGTTCTCACTGCTTACCTAGGTGAAAGAAATGAAGCAAAGTATCGATAGGAGGGCAATGTGCAATCAATAGAACGGCCGATGTGTGATCAATGTGAGGAAACGTTTCCGTCGGCTACGAAGGTGTGTATGGTGATTTCGTCAATTTAAAGATGATGTGTCGACTCCGTTTCGTGCATGTGTTCATAAAATGAGTGTATGTGTATGTAAGAGCGTCTACGACCGTGTTAAAGAAAATCTCCACAGGGCCAACAGCCTACAAATAGGTTCCAGTGACACACACACACAAACACAGCCGCAGCTCATCAGCCATGCAAGACCTACTCGTTCTCACCTTGAGCTTGATGCTCCTCTTCGTCGCCATGGTCGTCCGGCGGCATGGGCATGCATCGAGCAAGGCGGTCTACACGCGCCTCGCCACCCGCCTCAAGTCGACTTTCGCGGGCTGGCTCCGGCAGCCAGCCATCGTCATCAGGGACCGCGCGACAGCGCACCGCCTTCTCGTCCGTGGCTGCGTCGGCGGCTCCTTCTCCAACCGCCCGCCATCCATGGCGCCAAGCGCCGTCCTCTCGCACCGCCGCTACCACAACCTAACCTCGGCGCCGTACGGCCCGTTCTGGCGCGTCACGCGCCGCAACCTCACCTCCGAGGTCCTCCACCCGATGCGCCTCCACCGCTACGCCGCCGCCCGCCGCGACGCGCTCTGCGATCTCGTCGCGGACCTCAAAGAGCAGTGCACGTCCAGCCCCGACGGCCTTGTCCTCGCGGCGGAGAGCATCCGCACCGCCATGTTCGGCCTGCTCGCGACCATGTGCTTCGGCGACGGCGTCGACCCGGGCCTCATCCGCGCGATGGCCGACGCCCAGCACGACCTCGTCCAGTTCTTCCCTGAGCTGCGCGTCTTCGCGAAGCTACCGGCGATTGCTAGGCTGATCCACCGCCAACGGTGGAGCAAGCTAGTCGCGCTGCGGCGGAAGCAGGAGGAGATGTACCTCCCGCTCATCCACGCCCGCCGCAGCCGGCAACGCCAATCTGGCGAGACGCCGGCGTATGTGGACACGCTCATGGACCTCCGGGTGCCGGACGACCACAACAAACGCAGGCGGCCGCGTAGGCTCACCGACGGCGAGCTCGTGGGCATGTGCTCCGAGTTCCTTGGTGCAGGAACTGAAACCGTGGCCGCGGCGCTGCAGTGGATCATGGCGAACCTGGTGAAGCGCCCACACATGCAGGAGGCTGTCCGTAGGGAGATCAACGTTGCCGTTGGCGCGGACGCCGAGGAGGTGGGCGACGAGGTTCTTGGGAAGCTAGACTACCTCAACGCTGTCGTCATGGAGGTGCTCCGGCTGTACCCCACCGCCACCTTGGTGTTTAGGCAGGTAAATAAGCAACGGACTGCATGCTGACATGCATGAGCCATACTCCTTCCTTAATTAACTTTCTCTAAAGTCAAACTTCACAAGCTTTGACCAAATTTATGAATAATATATTAACAAATAAACCACCAAATCAATACTATTAGATTCATCATTGAATATGTTTTCAACCATATCAATTTGTTATCTTAATGTTCATATTGTTTGCTATAAACTTGATAAAAACTACTTTCGTCAAAGCTAATATGTAGAGTAAACAAAAATAGGGGGAGTACTACAATTGAGATGAAATAACTAATCGAGGACATGAATGTAATTTTCTGCTGCTCACAAGGTGTCAGAAGAAGACGACATCATTCATGATGGCCAGCGTATTCCGACGGGTACCAATGTGCTCTTCCCGCTGAAGTCTCTGGCGCAAGACAAGGCGACGTGGGCTGACCCGGATGAGTTCAAGCCAGAACGGTTCCTAGCCGACAAAGGTGGGGAAAATATCAGCCTTGTTGCGGTTGCCGGAAGCGGCGGGGAGATCAGGATGATACCGTTCGGTGCCGGCCGAAGGGTGTGCCCCGGCATGGGTGTCGCCATGCTCCACATGGGATACTTCACTGCCAACCTCGTCAGGGAGTTTGAATGGAGGGAGGCGGAGGGGGAGCTGGCTGTCGATCTCCGCCCGCATTTTGGGTTCTTCACTGTCATGAAGCACCCGTTACGTGCTCACCTCGCCGTGCTTCCGTGATGGAGGGGGCTCGAAAGGAGGAGTAAATTAGAAATGATATACCAGCTTGTAAGATTGTAATTTCCTTTGTGTAAGCTGCAACTTTTGTTGTCGTCTCTCTTGCATGCATAATACATTGCATGCTCAAAATAAGCTTAACCTCTATGTAGGGATTGGGTTCTGAACATCTAAAGCACATCGTTGTTGGTTGTTCTGTTATGTTGGCCATTCATGATAGTTTAAGAATGAACAGATCAAGCGCACAAGGCAACTATGTCAGTCGACTGAATTTTATTGGTGTTTTAAGTCACCCATTACCATTACATGCATTATGCATCCAAATGGACAAGCAAGGGTATAGCACAACTGGAAAGTTTCATTTTTCACTCGAATTCCGAGGATAAAAGAAAATACAACCCATGGAATCCCACTAACTGAATTATGTTGTTGGGTTGGCATGTCACTAACTCATGACACCATAGATTCTACTGGTTAAACCTTTTAATCGCACGTTGGGTCTCCCGATCACTCGATCAGAAACATTTCTTTGATTTTGGCAATGAGATCGTTAAACCAATATCCTGGTTCCTAATGATGCCAATGAAGGAAATATGCCCTAGAGGCAATAATAAAATTATTATTTATTTCCTTATTTCATGATAAATGTTTATTATTCATGCTAGAATTGTACTAACCGTAAACATAATACATGTGTGAATACATAGACAACTAGTATGCCTCTACTTGACTAGCTCATTGATCAAAGATGGTTAAGTTTTCTAACCATAGACATGAGTTGTTATTTGATCAATTGGATCACATCATTAGGAGAATGATGTGATTGACTTGACCCATTTCGTTAGCTTAGCACTTGATCGTTTGTTTACTGCTATTGCTTTCTTCATGACTTATACATGTTCTTATGACTATGAGATTATGCAACTCCCGAATACCGGAGGAACACTTTGTGTGCTACCAAACGTCACAACGTAACTGGGTGATTATAAAGGTGCTCTACATGTGTCTTCGATGGTACTTGTTGAGTTGGCATATATCAAGATTAGGATTTGTCACTCCGATTGTCGGAGAGGTATCTCTGGGCCCTCTCGGTAATACACATCACTATAAGCCTTGCAAGCATGATAACTAATGAGTTAGTTACGGGATGATGTATTACGGAACGAGTAAAGATACTTGCCGGTAACGAGATTGAACTAGGTATTGGGATACCGATGATCGAATCTCGGACAAGTAACATACCGATGACAAAGAGAACAACGTATAGTGTTGTGCGGTTTGACCGATAAAGATCTTCGTAGAATATGTAGGAACCAATATGAGCATCCAGGTTCCGCTATTGGTTATTGACCGAAGATGTGTCTCGGTCATGTCTACATAGTTCTCGAACCCATAGGGTCCGCACGCTTAAAGTTCTGTGATGATCGGTTTTATGAGTTTATATGGTTTGATGTACCGAAGGTAGTTAAGAGTCCCGGATTTTATCAGGGACATGACGAGGAGTCTCGAAATGGTCGAGACATAAAGATTGATATATTGTAAGCCTACATTTGGACATCGGAATAGTTCCGGGTGAAATCAGGATTTTACTGGAGTACCGGAGGGGTTACCGGAACCCCCCGGGGGATAATGGGCCTTGTTGGGCCATAAGGGAAAGAGAGAGGGGCCGGCTTAGGGCAGGCAGCGCGCCCCCTGTCCGAATTGGACTAGGAGAAGGGGGGCGGTGCCCCCCTTTCCTTCTCTTTCTCTCCCTGCCTTTCCCGCTCCTAGTAGGAGTAGGAAAGGGAGGAATCCTACTCCTACTAGGAGGAGGATTCCTCCTCCTAGGCGCGCTAACAAGGGCCGGCCGGCCTCCCCCTTGCTCCTTTATATACAGGGGCAGGAGGCACCTCTAGACACATAAGTTGATCACAAAGATCTCTCCCAGCCGTGTGCGGTGCCCCCCTCCACCATAATCCACCTCGGTCATACTGTAGCGGTGTTTAGGCGAAGCCCTGCTACGGTAACTTCATCAACATCGTCACCACGCCGTCGTGTTGACGAAACTCTTCCCCGAGCTCTACTGGATCGTGAGTTCGACATCACCAAGCTGAACGTGTGCTGAAATGCGGAGGTGCCATACGTTCGGTACTGAGGATCGGTCGATCGTGAAGACGTACGACTACATCAACCGCATTCTCATAACGCTTCCGCTTAATGGTCTACAAGGGTACGTGGACAACACTCTCCCCTCTCGTTGCTATGCATCATCATGATCCTGTGTGTGCGTAGGAGAATTTTTAAAATTACTACGTTCCCCAACAGTGGCATCCGAGACTGGTTTTATGCATAGATATTATATGCACGAGTAGAACACAAGTGAGTTGTGGGCGATACAAGTGATACTGCTTACCAGCATGTCATACTTTGGTTCGACGGTATTGTTGGATGAAGCATCCCAGACCGACATTACGTGTACGCTTACGCGAGACTGGTTCTACCGACGTGCTTTGCACACAGGTGGCTGGCGGGTGTCAGCTTCTCCAACTTTAGTTGAGCCAAGTGTGGCTACGCCCGGTCCTTGAGAAGGTTAAAACATCACTAACTTGACGAACTATCGTTGTGGTTTTGATGCGTAGGTAAGAACGGTTCTTGCTCAGTCCGTAGCAGCCACGTAAAACATGCAACAACAAAGTAGAGGATCTCTAACTTGTTTTTGCAGGGCATGTTGTGATGTGATATGGTCAATACATGATGCTATCGGCAACTAGCAGGAGCCATATGGTCGTCGCTTTATTATATGCAATGCAATCTCCCTATAATTGCTTTACTTTATCACTAAGCGGTAGCGATAGTCGTAGAAGCAATAGTTGGCGAGACGACAACGATGCTACGATGGAGATCAAGGTGTCGCGCCGGTGACGATCGTGATCATGACGGTGCTTCGGAGATGGAGATCACAAGCACAAGATGATGATGGCCATATCATATCACTTATATTGATTGCATGTGATGTTTATCCTTTATGCATCTTATTCTGCTTTGTTTGACGGTAGCATTATAAGATGATCTCTCACTAAATTTCAAGATAAAAGTGTTCTCCCTGAGTATGCACCGTTGCCAAAGTTCGTCGTGCCGAGACACCACGTGATGATCGGGTGTGATAAGCTCTACGTCCATCTACAACGGGTGCAAGCTAGTTTTGCACAAGCAGAATACTCGGGTTAAACTTGACGAGCCTAGCATATGCAGATATGGCCTCGGAACACTGAGACTGAAAGGTCGAGCGTGAATCATATAGTAGATATGATCAACATAGTGATGTTCACCATTGAAAACTACTCTGTTTCACGTGATGATCGGTTATGGTTTAGTTGATATGGATCACGTGATCACTTAGATGATTAGAGGGATGTCTATCTAAGAGGGAGTTCTTAAGTAATATGATTAATTAAACTTAAATTTATCATGAACTTAGTACCTGATAGTATTTTGCTTATCTATGTTGTTGTAGATAGATGGCCCGTACTGTTGTTCCATTGAATTTTAATGCGTTCCTTGAGAAAGCAAAGTTGAAAGATGATGGTAGCAATTACACGGACTGGGTCCATAACTTGTGGATTATCCTCATTGCTGCACAGAAGAATTACGTCCTAGAAGCACCGTGCTACCTCTTGAGCACTGCATTGGTTTCCCCTTGAAGAGGAAAGGGTGATGCATCAAAGTAGCGTAAGTATTTCCCCCAGTTTTGAGAACCAAGGTATCAATCCAGTAGGAGGCTACGCGCGAGTCCCTCGCACCTGCACAAAACAAATAAATCCTCCCAACCAACACGATAAGGGGTTGTCAATCCCTACACGGCCACTTACGAGAGTGAGATCTGATAGATATGATAAGATAATATTTTTGGTATTTTTATGATAAGGATGCAAAGTAAAATAAAAGCAAATAAAAAGGAAAGGAAATAACTAAGTATTGGAAGATTAATATGATGAAGATAGACCCAGGGGCCATAGGTTTCACTAGTGGCTTCTCTCAAGAGCATAAGTATTTTATGGTGGGTGAACAAATTACTGTTGAGTAATTGACAGAATTGAGCATAGTTATGAGAATATCTAGGAATGATCATGTATATAGGCATCACGTCCGAGACAAGTAGACCGACTCCTGCCTGCATCTACTACTATTACTCCATGATACGCCTCCAACGTATCTATAATTTTTGATTGCTCCATGCTATATTATCTACTGTTTTGGACATTATTGGGCTTTATTATCCACTTTTATATTATTTTTGGGACTAACCTATTAACCGGAGGCCCAGCCCAGAATTGTTGTTTTTTTTGCCTATTTTAGGGTTACGAAGAAAAGGAATATCAAACGGAGTCCAAACGGAATGAAACCTTCGGGAACGTGATTTTCTCACCGAACACGATCCAGGAGACTTGGACCCTACGTCAAGAAACAAAGGAGGAGGCCACGAGGTAGGGGGGCGCGCCTACCCCCCCAGGTGCGCCCTCCACCCTCATGGGCCCCCTGTTGCTCCACCAACGTACTCCTTTCTTCTATATATACCTACGTACCCCCAAACGATCAGATACGGATCCAAAAACCTAATTCCACCGCCGTAACTTTCTGTATCCATGAGATCCCATCTTGGGGCTTGTTCCGGAGATCCGCCGGAGGGGTTATCCATCATGAAGGGCTTCTACATCATCACCATAGCCCCTCCGATGAAGTGTGAGTAGTTTACCTCAGACCTATGGGTCCATAGTTATTAGCTAGATGGCTTATTCTCTCTTTTTGGATCTCAATACAAAATTCTCCCCCTCTCTTGTGGAGATTTATTCGATGTAATCTTCTTTTTGCGGTGTGTTTGTTGAGACCGATAAATTGTGGGTTTATGATCAAGTCTATCTATGAACAATATTTGAATCTTCTCTGAATTCTTTTATGTATGATTAGTTATCTTTGCAAGTCTCTTCGAATTATCAGTTTGGTTTGGCCTACTAGATTGACCTTTC